ATCAACATTGAGACACCCATAAGGCTGGGCCACACACTTCAGAGGGAGTGCTAAGATCCTCCCCCTGATTCTGGGCAGCAGGGACGCCCTACAATGGCCGTGGAGAAGGGCACCTTTCCTTTTTAAAATGGTCACATGCAAGTACAGGTTGAACCTCTGTAGCCCGGCACCCGGTGCCACACCAGAAAACTTGCCGGACCACGAGAGGTTAATATTGTCTGGCATCTTCACCAACACTGCCATGGCTTGCTGGGCTTTTAGAAGACATGTAGGGGCAAGTGAGAGCTAGATAACAGCACAGAACATGGAGAGCCAGGGCTGGTGGCTGTCAACAAACTTTATGGGACCATGAGAAACTTGGCCACACCCACGATAAGTGGACATCCAGTTAACTGCAATCATGCCGGTCCACAGACGCTGCAGGGCCAGAGAGTGCCAGACTAGAGAGGTTCAGCCTATAGTGCTATTAGCACCCCGGGACTATAATTTTAAGCATGCGTTTAAGTACTTCAATGGATCGGGGGTGAAGCACTTGGCATCTAGTGAGTTAAAGCCCTCTGACAGAAGATGCCCCATATAATATGGAGCAGAGTCCTGCAAATCCATTTTTTCCTGTGAGTTATGTTTGCTCTTTGCCTGGTCTTCATGCCGCTAGCCAAAGAAGTGGCATTTGGAGAATCAGGAAGAAAAATTTAGGCAATTAATCATAAAGTCATAAAAATGGAACCTGCCCCAGAGTGATTGCTAGATGTTAGAGTGTTTTATCTTAACAAGAAATCCACAGCAAATATGACAAACAAACAAGCATTTTCCTCATGGTCATTATTGCTTATTAAATTATATAATATTTGAAAATGAACATTAAGCTTTAAAGTTCCTTTAACTTCCCATTAATCAAAACAAGATGGCCAACTGCAACTTATTAGTGTTTGAATATTCAAAAAATAACCACAGAGGACAGCTGTCTGACGGTGACAAAAAAAGGAAATGAAGAAGTAAAATGCTAAAACATAATAAAATGACTTTCATGATGGAAAACTAGCACAATACCCCTAAAGCAATCTTGTGCTAGTGCCATTTGTACAAATGTATCTATTCTATATAAAAAAAAGCAATCACATTAACGTACTTTCTTCTTGTTTGAGCTTTAAAACTAAAATGATCACCTGCTTATTGACTTTCTTGTTTTAGAAAGTTTCCAAAATCATTTTATGGTAGAAAACACAAGTGTTGTAGCTGTTGCAAAATACCCAACCAAAAACCCCCCAGGCCTCTGGCAAATTTGCAACCTTTCCCATTCCTCCACAGATAGGACAGGGTACATGATAAATCACTGTCATGCGAGATGGGCACAAATAGAGGACAATGCAGTTCACCATGCAAGCATCCAATATTTTAGCTTCCCTGATTTTAGGGATTTTTTTATTTTAACTCATGGAGGGATAATAATACAGAGAACGTCTTTCTGGAAATGTGGCTTTGGATTGGCTGTGCTAACAGGAAGGAAGATTGGCAGGTTCCTAGGGGTAGGAATGTTGAAATCAGAACCATAGAAGCAAGGGTTTGGAGCCCAGGAATTAGATTTCATTGAGGCCACGTCTTCACTAAATGGAAGATCGACGCTGCCACAATCCATCTTCCAGAGTTCGATTTAGCAGGTCTAGTTAAGACTCACTAAATTGAACTCAGAGGGTTCCCCTATCGGTGGCCAGTGCTCCTGCTTGTGTGAGGAATCGTCTGCTCCCGCTGTGGGGATGGTGGGAAAACATGAAACAAGGTACGTTGACTCCAGCTATGTAATTAATACAGTTGGAGTTGTGTATCTTGATTTCACCTTCCTCTTTAGTGTAGACCTGGCTTAACTCTATCCTGGGAAATACTGGGCCGCCTCAACTCTAACTGCCTGCAATGGGCTCCAGGATTAGGCCTGTGAAGAACAGGAGGTGTTATGTTATTCCAAAAACTTGTCACAAGATTAGCAAGCGTGGGCAGTGCAGAACCCACCTCTGCAAGCCAGCTGCTCTAGAAAAGAAAGGTTTGGTTTCAAGGTACAAGGTGATAAAAAGCAAACGGTGCTATCATCAGAGCTGTAGGAAGAGGGGATCCCACTATGGAAGGGAGCCACCATGAATATTTATGCTCAGGCAAAGGATCTCTGTGCACAAGTTGGCCGGGCTCAGATAATCCCAGGCTCTGCTCCGAGAGCTAGCAAACAATCCAGAGCTCGAATCTGCCTGGTCTCTAAAGCTACTTCTACACTGCAGTGCTATTTCAGGATAGCGGAGTATTCCAAAATAGCGATCCCGTGTCTTCACAGCAAGCCCGTTATTTTGATATATAACGGGCTCGCTATTTTGATATCCCTGTAGAACTCATTCCACGAGGAGTAAGGGACATTTTGGAATAGCGAGTTATTTCGAAATTTGGCGCTGTGTAGACAGAGCCAAATTATGAAATAAGCTATTTCAAAATAAGATCGATATAAGGTACGCCATTTGCATAGCTCAAATTGCGTATCTTATTTTGTAGGGTAGGTCTACATTACACATTTAATTTGGAATAAGCAATTTCAGAAGAATAACTCCCAAAATATCTATTTTGAAATAGCAGGTCCACACTACAGGAAGGCCTCGAAATTAGTCCGAGACTGGCTCCCCTAATGTGGACGTGCTACCTCGATTCAGAGCCCCAGGAAGCCCTGGGGAGTAATTCCTCTGAATGACCCTGGGGAGGAGCTATTTCCAAATAGCAGCAGTGGAGCGTCCACACGGCCGCTATTCTGAAACAGCGATTTTGAAATAAGCGTCATTCCTCGTGAAATGAGGGTTTGTTATTCCAGAATACGAAGGCTGTTGTTTTGAATTTCAAATTGACAGCCTTGCCCCCCTGGCTATTTGGAAATAACGCTGTCGTGTAGACGTGCCCTGAACAGCTGCAGCCTGTGGGCAGAGGGCATCAGAGCCTTCTCCCAGACATCTGCCGTCTCCCTGGGCTCCTAGGATACAGGGGCAGGTCCTATCACCGTTCCTCAGGAGTGCGGGGACTTCTCCCTGTCCCCTCCTTTTTAGCTACCTGGGTTTAAATGCTAGAGCAGAGTCTCCAGGGGGTCCCATCACAACTGGGGTGTGATTCTATCAGCTGTGGGCCATGCCAATACCACCCTCAGTGGACTGCTGACATTGATCTCTTGACAACTACATGTGCATATCTGCTGCCTGTGTTACCTCCAAATCCTCCAGGGGCTGGGAATTTGCTCAAACCGCACGCTGATTCCACTGTTCTTCAGTTGAATCTTCAGTACAAGTCCCCTTCAGTACAAAGGCTTCTTCAGTACAAGTCCCATCCGCTGCCCGGCTGCAGGGCCTGAGACCAGGTGTCCTAAGACTAGTCGGTGCAGGCAGAGAACATGGCAACTTTTGCTCCTTCTCCCCATGACAAATGGGAGGAGCATGCCAGAAAAGGACAGGCCAGCACCAGCACCCACTAACTACTGTTTATCGCCAATGCATCTGATGGAGAATTTCCATCTTGTAGCTGAAGATTCCTGGCCCACATTCTGTGTCCAAAGCAAGGGGCAGATGATAGCAGGGATGGGAGCACGAGAGAACCCAGATGCTCTAGGAAATGGCGGAGAGCAGGCAGTTGTACTTGCCCTCAGTCCTTACTGAGCCAGGACCTCGCCATTGAGCTAAGGCAGGGGTGAGCAACCTGCAACCATCGGGGGAATCTGACTGCAGGCCGCAAGACATTTTGTTAATGTTCAGCATCTGCAAGCTCCACCCCCTGCAGCTCCCAGAGGCCACGGTTCTCTGTTCCACCCTGGAGCCCTTTCGCTGGCTGGTACCTCCCCACAGCTCCCACTGGCGGAGAATAGAGACTCACAGCCAATAGGAGCTGCATGGGGTGGAGCCTGCAGTTGGCCAACATCAGCAAACTATCTCATGATCTGCAATCAGATTACCCTGATGGGCCACCTGCAGCCTGTGGATCGTAGGTTGCTCACCACTAGGCTAAGACCTAGGTCTTGCTGTCTGTGGTCATTAAATCTCCTAAGGTGCTTCTCCTAAGGAGAGGGAAATTACTCCCTGAGTCCTGGCTAGGTTCTCCCTTGATTCATCATATAGCACCTCCCTCCACAGCACGTCAGTTAGATAAGGTACCCTGCACCCCACCACTCTGAACGGTTGTGTGATGGCACTGCGCACTGTGAAACAGATCCCATGTTTCACCCCGGAGCATCAACGGCAGGCAAAGTGACTCATAGATACAGTTGACCCAGTTGCTAGCAAAGCTATGAATATGCTTTGAGATGAAAGTCTTCTTCTAATGTCAGTTTACTGCCACGATAAAAATACCAAGCTAATAAAGGGGTCCCGGGCGTGGCCATGGGATTTACGGTACCTTCAGTAAACGATCACAATTGAGTGAATCCAGCAGCTCTTCCTCAAACTTTTCTAATGAAGGGTACAAATGGATGGACAGCTTATCCACGTGCCATGTGACCGACTTCATGAGGTGGGGTTTTCGAAAGAAATCATCTGCAAAGACATCCAGCCATATGTTACTCTGCTGTCACCCACCGAATGCAGCAACATCCGGAACACAGCCTCGCTGCCCCATCCCATTCCCAGACCACAACGGAGAATGCAGCTGAGATTAGTGGTCCTCGCACAGAGCTCTCAATAGTGAGCTCTTCTCTTTCCGCAGCTCAAATTAATAAGCAAATGCTAACTTTGGGAGAAGTCGAATTTCTCCTTCCAAATGCCTCCAGAAACAAATTCTACAAACTAGTCATTAAAAGAAGGTAGATTATCAAAGCAAAGGAACATCTGTTAGCCCTTCAGCTTGGTTTCCTTTCATGTCTTATACGCTTCTCCAGCCAGAAAGAAAACCAGGTGCACCCCTCCCTTCACCTCGTACACCTGCGGTGAACCATCGCAAGGCTATCGCGCTAGGAAAGGCCAACAAGTCAGCCTGGTTATTTAGCAGGTCCCAAGGTCGGGAGCCCCAAGTCCACAACACACGTAGTTATCCCAGCGTGCCGATTTGGGAGAGAGCTGGGCAACTGTACAACAACTGGAGGAGGTGCAGGCCAGCTTGTCTGATGGCTACAGCTGACTCAAGGGCCCTCCGAAGCTGCAATGGGCCGCATGCACTTCCAGTTGCATAGTCAAGGAAAGGACAATGTGACACCCAAACACGGCTGAGGGGACTGATGGGGCCCTAGGCAGTGCTATTAAACTGGGGCTCCTCTGCCGGACGGCAACCGGGGGAGGAGATGACAATTTGTACAGCTGAGATTTTATACTCTTCAGTGCCACACTCATGACATATTTCACACTCAGGTCCTGGCGCCTCCCACAGCAAGTCCAGACGCTGACAGTGCGTACCTGGGGCTGACAAGTGCCTGTGAAATGGCTCCGTTACCATAGGAACGGCCCTTGCACCGGTCCAATGTTCTGCTCATCGCTCGGGCCGGCTTCTTCCCTTTAAAGTTACATCCTTTCCGGAGGAGGCAGAGCCACAGGACCGGGGTAGGAAGAGGTGGGTGGACTTTGAGACCCAGGGTGCCCCAAATTTTGCGGGGCCCTACCATTTTATGCATATGGGTAAGGATGGCCCAGCCAAAACTATGGGGCAAGGGTGGAACAATAAGCCCTTCTTGTTCTCTGGACTCGGCTCTTCCTGGGTTATTTCCCTCCCCATCCACCTACAGCACCACATTTCGTATGAGTGGGGCCCATTCAGATCTCATGCACGAGGTCACTGCTTCCTAACGTGAAATCCATGATCTGATCCGGATCAGCCCACCAGCATGAGCAAGGTAAGGAGGTGAACTGGACACAGCCCTCCAAGGCCCAGCGCTCTCCTGATGTATATTGTTCTAGCAAGTCACTATGGGTATGTGTACACTAGCTCGTTAATTCGAGCTAGGTAGGCAAATCAGGCAACCGGAGTTGCAAATGAAGCCCGGGATTTAAATATCCCGGGCTTTATTTGCATGTTCCCATCTGGCTGCCATTTTTAAATCCCCCTTAGTACGAACTAACTGCCCGCGGTTACACGCAGCAGTTTAAAGTTAATCTGAACTAAGTCCTTAGTTCAGATTAACTGTTACTCCTCGTGGAATGAGATGTAACAGTTAATCCAAACTAAGGACTTAGTTCGGCTTAACTTTAAACTGCCGCGTGTAGCCGTGGGCAGTTCATTCGAACGAAGGGGTTTTTAAAAATGGCGGCCGGATGGGAATGTGCAAATAAAGCCCAGGATATTTAAATCCTGGGCTTCATTTGCAACTCCGGTTGCCTGATTTGCCTACCTAGCTCTAATTAACGAGCTAGTGCAGACATACCTAATGGCACTGGAGAGATGTCTTCAGCCCAAGATAACTGTTCAACTACATTAGTAGAGAGGCTGGACTCACGAGGCTAAGGCCCGCTCGATGAATCCAGACCGGCACTGCTCGCCGCTCCACGTTTAATAAAAAGTCTCCTCCGAGCGTTCTGAGGCAGGAGCACTGAAGCGGTGGACGTGTAAGACACCCTGTGAGAATTACAGCGACCGATCCCCTCAACTTCACCAGTGGCAGCAGCGGAAGGGATCGCACCGGAGTCCTTTGGACAGGAAGCGCGCACGTGCTTCAATAACCCAGACCAGCAGCTTCTCTGCTGTACAGAATGACATTCCATGTAGCAGGCCTGCCGGACGGGAAATGCCAGAAAAGATGAACCCAGCTCCACTGCTCTGCACCGCTCCAAGGGACAGCTGCAGAGGCACTGAGTTTGGCAAGGCAAGGCTTGGAAAGAAAATTGAAATGGAGTGACCCCATACTGGTGGTGGGTAACCTGCGGCCCATTGGGACTCTACCTGTGGCCTGCAGGCCCCCTGGCTGCCCCCTCCACCACATGCACCGGAGCTCTGCGCTTCCTGCTCTTTCCCCTCCCTCTCAGCACTTTCGAAGGAGGCACAAATTGCCAGACTGGCACTCCATCCCCGCTCCTCCCCCTCCCTCCCAGAGCTGGAACACCGCCAATCAGCTGGCCGCAGCATTCTGGCTCTGGGAGGGAACGAGGGAGGCGGAGCAGCAGGGCGGAGCACAAATCAAGTGACTGGCGGTGCTCGGAAAATGCTGGGAAGGAGAGGGAAGGGGAAGGGGAAGGAAGTGCAGGGCTCCGGTGCCCCAGTGTGCAAGAGGCACGTGGGGGAGGAGGGGCAGTCGGGAGGCCACAGGGTTGCAGGTGGAACCCCACTGGGCCACCCACCTCTCATCCCCGCCCCATACTCTCCTGTTTCGGCTGCACTCTGAGGATGGGCAGAGCCAGGCGAGGCTCGCCGACGGTGAAAGGCACCGGTTGGACTGAGGGCCACAGAAAGGGCATAAAAAGATGAAGCTATAGAGAAGAAATGCTTAAAAATGGCACCAACAGACCCTAGCACAGACAATTACAACCATGCCCTTTCCGAGTCCTGGGGGATGGATGCAGCCCCTGGCTCTGGCTCATGAAACTCAGGGTCCCCCATCCCAGCATTGGGGAGTCCACACAGGTGCTTCACAGCCGCCCTCCTGCCAACCCATCGTGGGGCTGGAGCATGCAAAATCTAGCCAAAGGTTCAGAGAAGGGCAACAAAAATGATGAGGGGTTTGGAATGGGTCCCATATGAAGAGTGATTAAAAAGACTTGGACTTTTCAGCTAAAAAAAAAGGAGACGAAGGGGGGATATGATAGAGGTTTATAAAATTATGACTGGCGTGGAAAAAGTGAATATGGAAAAGTTGTTTACTTGTTCCCATAATATAAGAATTAGGCGTCACCAAATGAAATTGATAGGCAGCAGGTTTAAAACAATCCAAAGGAAGTTTTTCTTCACTCAGCACACAGTCAACCTGTGGAACTCCTTGCCAGAAGATGTTGTGAAAACTAGGAGGTTAGGTCCATCAATGGCTATTAGCCAAGATAAGCAAGAATGGTGTCCCTAGCCTCTGTTTGTCTGGAGGTGGGAGACAGGGGAGGAATCATGTGAGGATTACCTGTTGTGATCCCTCCCTCTGGGGCATCTGGTATTGGCCACTGTCAGCAGACAGGACACTGGGCTACATGGACCTTTGGTCTGACCCAGTATGGCCGCTCTTATGTTCTTATATTACTAGGCTCTGGTGTGTGAGGGAAATGTGGGACGTGTCTTTCTCCTCAGTAGGGGACGATGTCAGTGAGGGTTTTTGGGGGGTTCTTTGTTTGTTTTTGCTTCTCACTTCTATGGGGCCCTGACTGATTTTCCTGTGGGTCAGTGGCTCCCAACCCAAAAAAGGCTCCTCTCCCCTGCTCGAAGCAAACATACCCGGGTTTCATGCACGTTGAGATATTCAGAGATCACTGATCGATTAAACATGCTAACGGATAAACAGGGAGCCATTTATGCTGGCATGGTTCCACGGATCTCAGCTCTACAGAGTCCCTCGCGGGGAACCATTTCCCCACTATCGCCGATTCTGTTTTCAGCCTCATAGAAACATCCCTTTGTTGCCCCAAGAGAGCTGGACTGCACAGTCCTTGCTCCTTCCAACCTCCAGTGCCCACAAGTTCTAGGGGAGAATCTGTACAGTTTAGCCCAAGGTGAGTGTTACCCATGTGTTGCCCATCCAAGAAGTATTCTGAACCCCATCCGTTTTATTTTCATCAGAGCTGAGCTATTTCCTCCTGTCCTAAAAATACAAGGCTAAGCAAGCTACCTTGCTGATTGCGGCTGAGGCTGTCGATCTTCCACCTGGCAGGAATTGGGGTGGGCTGCAAGTTTGGGGAAAACTAAAGAGGAAGGAACCTCATCCTTAGGAGCGTTTTTCCACAGAAAAGCCCCTGAATAAGATTTCATCCTCCTCCGCACGACTCGCGGCTGAGCATTAACAAACCTACCTGAGGAACTTAAAAGCAAACCCTGGAATCTATAAAGTGCCTGACAATAGCACTCAATAACACAGCGTGTCAGGGATAGAGCAGTGGTTAGGCAGAGCTGCGGGAGCGGTAAGGAACGAGGGAGTTCATAGCAAATCAGTGCTAGTGAAGTTAGAATCAGCCTTAATTCAATTTGAGAAACCAAATACACCTTACCGGATTCATCTACGCTGTTATCTGAAGATTCAGTCTATCAAATTACAGGGTGCGCTTTGTCTAAACTGCCCATTTTGAACCAATTTCAGCCACCCTGTTCTTTTCTGTCCAGCTTCCAGGCGGGATTTATTGCTCTGTTCTTTTGCTTAAGGCAGGGAGGGGAGAGTGGCAGAAAGAACTTAACTTTTCAGGACAAAGCTTTTCTTGACGACCACACAGCAAGGAATCGCTGGCCTGCTTTCGTAATGCCGTTCGGGTTTTTAGAAGGGATTAAGTAACTGGAAGTGAAGAACTGACAGGGAATAGGCAGGACAAACAGCTTCATGGTTGTGTATTGGGGGGCTATTTGGCAATAACACTGCTGCAGGTTGCAGCTCTCTAAACCCAGACTCTCTGGTCTGGCAACAGCCGTGGTCCAGCAGGATCAGAGCGCC